AAAAAAAAAAAAAAGAATCTAACTCAGGACCTTGCACTGGCCAGGAAGATGCAGCACCACTGAGCTAAATCCCTGGCCCCTCTGTATGCTGTGCCTCTCTGTAAGACAAGGGATGGTGGTGTGTAATTGCATGTTCATCCCCTGGCTTTTGAGAGTATTATGCTGAATGAAAAAAAATTAGCCAATCTCAAAAGGTTGTGCACTATATGATATATTTATGTAACACTTGACATAAAGTAATAGAGAGGGGAAGAAATTAGCATTGCTAAGGGCCAGGGCTAGGCAAGGGAGGGCTATAAAGAAGTAGCACAAGAGAGCGCTGTGGTAAGGGAATAATAGTTCTGCACCCTGATTGTGGTGATGAGTTCATACAATCTACACATATGCTAAATTGCATAAAACTATACATACACAAACACAACTGATTGTCTGTAAAACTGGTGAGTTTTGGATAAACTGTTGCATCAGTACCAGTTTCCTGATGTAATATTTCATTGTGTTTATACAAAATGTTACTACTGGGGGAATGGGCTAAATGGTGTAGGGGAACCTCCCTGAACTGTTCTTTGTGCCACTTCATGTGAATCTATAATTATTTGAAAATGAAAAAGTTTTAAAAATCCTTTAATTTTTTTTTTTTTTTCGGTACCGGGGATCCAACTCAGGTCCTTGCACTTGTGCAGCAGGTGTCGAAACCACTGAGCTAAATCCCTGGCCCAAAAATCCTTTAATTTTTAAAAATTCAGCAATTAGGGCCAGGGATTTAGCTCACTGGTTCTGGTGCCTGCCTCACAAGTGCAAGGTCCAGAGTTCGATCCCCAATACCAAAAAAAAAAAAAAAATTCAGCAATTAAAAAATTTTCTAGGGTAGAACTGGTAGTAATACTTGGGTGGGTGTTCATACTGTCATAAACATTTCTCCATTCTTGTTGCCAGCAAGGGCTTATAAGTTGTTTTCAGTGTTTACAAATTGTCACTGGGATGTGGATGGAATACACACATGATCATTGCAGGGTATTTTGTTGTTGTTGTTGTTGTTGTTTTGGTATGGGGGATCGAACTGGGGACCTTGTGCCTAGGAGACAGGCTGTGGAACCACTGAGCTAAATCAAGGGCCCAGTACAGGGTGTTTTTAAGAGCAATGTTTAAGGGTTTAAGCAGGGTTGTGATATTTGAACAAGTCATCCTGTTGGCTTCTTATGGATATGAGGAAGAGCAAGACTGGAAGCAGACTATTATGCTTAATTGATTCTAAGAGCCCCCCCCCCCCCCCCCGGCATTTTAACATCTCCCAAATTGGGATGTTTCATGGCTTAGTCAGCAGTCACTGGATTTGTCACAGCTTCTCATGAGCATGACAACTTGCAAAACGGGTGACTGAAGCTGGGAAGAAAATTCCAGGGACCGAAGAGGAACACTCGGGAAATGCTGTATCAACGAAGCCGTTGATGGCGTTGAACGCAGGCCCAAAGCACGCGGGAACTGACACATCCAAAACTGAGTCCGAAAAGCCATCGTTAAGAATCGGTCTCTGAATATGAAACTGTAGGTGTTCGGCTTCCATGTAATTCTTTTCTATTTTCCTTCTTATGTACGCACGAGAGTGAAATGATAAAAATGTTTATGCCTATACATCTATGCTTTCAAGAAATGTAAAATAAAACTAAGTGGTGACACAGCACAGTCACAGTTCGTCACTTTTGAAAAGACAAGGCATAAATAATGGTGCGTTTTACAGCTAATGTCGGGAAAGGGGTCATCGTGAGAAGAGGGAAGAAAATTCTCACGTATAGGAAGGCGCGGGGGGCTGCGGCGCCGGCCGGGCGAGCTCTGGGCCGCGCCCTGCCCGGACCACGTCGCCGGGACAATCTGCGTGCCGAGCCCCGTCCAGGCCAGTAGCGGCTGTCTGCAGGAGCGGCGTGATTGGCTGGAGCTGCCAGCGGCGGGCGGGCCCGAACTCAGGGTCTGCCCAGCGATTGGCTAAGAAGGCACCAAACAGGGTTAACTCAATTGTCCGGGCCGCCCCGAGAGGGCTGGCCCGCTAGCACCCTGTCCCGCCCCTGAGCTAGCCAGGTAAGCAAACTACAGTGACATTGGACGTTGGAAGGGGCCCCGCCGCACCCGCTCCTTTCCGGAGTCGAAACGAGAGGAGAACTGTGATTGGCACGATTCAGGGGCGAGGAACACCGGGACGTCCCGACTTGGTTCTTTTTTTTGAGTACCGGGGATCGAACTCAGGACCTTGTGCTCGGGAGGCAGGCGGCGGCACCACTGAGCTAAATCCCCGGTCCCCCGACTTGGACGTCTGCCCATTCCGGGCGTGGATTGGTCGGCAGAGCCGTGCGCGTGGCCCGGGAGGCGTGGCCAGCGCTAATAAAACCGGGCAGCGCGGCGGCCGCAGTAAATTCCGCCGCATCTAGAGCTCCGGGCACCCAGCCGGGGGCGAAGCTGAGCGGTTCTGTCCGCCTCGACTGCAGCGTCTTCCCGCCGGTGTCTCGCCGCAGCTTCCAGAGGGGCGGGCCCCCACTCTCTCTGTCAGGAAAATGTGAGTTGGCTCTGGTCGGGGCTGGACACCTCCTCACCAACTCTCACCCTGGCGCCCGACTCTGCAGGATGGAAAATGGCGCATTGCAGCAGCTGCGGCGACGCGGGGAGCAGCGCCGCGCCGCCCCCGGGCCGGCCCGCCGGGCGGGCAGCACCTCCAGCCGCAGCTGCACCGGCCGGCGGGGGTCCGCGTGCGTGGCACCCTCTCCTCTCCCCTTGTGGGCGAAGGGGCCCGGAGATGGACAGCGGGGAACTCCAAGACCCTTGCTGGTCCTCGGACCCAATCTGCTTAGCCAGCCCTGCGGTCTCTAGATTCGCGTGTGCCTCTCCCCTCGTGGGAGGTGCAGAGCTCCAGAACTCACCTGCCAGTTCCCTGGTGCCAGCCGCGCCCCTCTGCAAGACTCGAGAGACGGTGGCGTGTGGTCGCGTGTTCATCCCAAGGCCACCCGACTAGGTGGTTTACTGCCATCAAGTCCCAGGCAGGCATTTGGAGGAGAAATAGAACTGAGTATTGCCCCTTTCTTCCAACGCACGGTTTAGTTTCCAGCCATCTTCAGCGCTGACCTCTTCCCTTGTTCCTGAGGAGAGCTATGGCTGCCAGGAGCGCTGTGTGTTTAATAGAAGTTTTTCTTTCTGATTACTGGCTGGAGCTCTGGTCTGCTGCTAGATGTATCTGTACTGCTTCTTTTAGTAACAAATGCTAGGAAAGATTTACTTGTGTTCCATAAGGGTTGTAACTATCCCTGGATATGTTACTGCTGAGTGCTTCCAACTCCCAACAAGTAGTAAGTGAAGCGAACCCTGCAAACACTGTCCTAAGGTTTAACTGTAGTTGATAGTCTGTGGATGTTGGACAAGTGCTAAGAGTCCAGTTGTTTTCGTTTTGGGGCTGGGGACCCCTTCTCAGCTGACTGATTCCACATCGCGCCCATGTGAGATGGACAGAAGGAGATGGAGAAAGCATGGTGGCCAGCAGGGAATCACGAGGTCAATGACCTTACTCTTGTCATTGGTGCCACCATCCTGGTCTTCTTCCAGTACTGACTGCTCCCTACTCACTGAGGTTTCTGTCTTCAGTCTGGATCTAGAAAGCTTAGCCAGCTCAGAAGCAGCCCAAGAGTCTTATGGGTCCCTTAGCGTTGTATCTTTTTTCTCCTTTGCCTCACCTGTCCTTGCAGGGACATATGAAAATGATTCCTTAAATGGGGATGAGTCAGTATAATCAGGTAGTATGGCCTTTCTGAGGGGTTATTGTCTATTTTTTTAGTCTGAAAGAAATTCACTTAGGGCAGAGGATCTTCTAAGTATTAGTTCTGTGATAATTAGTCAAGGAATCTCCTTTCTGTTTTTGTGATGGTTTAACCTCGTGTGCTTTTATTCTTGGACTGCTTTAGTGAAGTATGTTCTGTAAGTTCTGCTTTTCCTTAAGGAGTTCCTAAGGAAATCTCTGCTCTCCAGCAAATTGTAGAGACCCTCTACCCCGCCTGTTTTTTCCTTTGGCAGAGAAAACCTCATCCTTTACGTTAGGCTCCTGGGAATTCGTTAACAGGTGAATTTAGCCTTCATATCTTGGAATGGAGAGACAAGTTTACCTTGACCCCATGTTGAATTATTCCCTTCTAAGCCTAAGGTAGCTGTAGCCATAAGTGGTACTGAAAAGGAGAGCAGTCTCCATGTGTATACAGTAGAGTCAGCCAAAAACCAGGATATCTCTGTGGGATGGAGGGAACTAGGGTGTCTCTTGAGATTCTGCCAGATCTAGAAAAGGAAGGGACAGAAAGTCTATGGTGTGTGTACACTGTTTGTAGCATTTTTCCTTCCTGTCTATGCTCTTGGAACAGTTTCCATTGCTAATGTAATTGTTTTGGGCCCCAGATTCAATCTAAGTGAAACCCCTGTTTTCTCTGCCAAAAACAATGCAAACAAACAGTCCTGACTCAGTCCATCTCCGCAGACTTTGCTGTTGGTGATCCTCCAGCAGCCCTGAACTTCTACATAACCAGTAACTGGATCCTGATAAGCAGCAGCTGTCAGTTTGCCCCTTCCTTTTATATTCAAGCTTTGTAGTTTAGTTCATTGGCTTGTCCTGAGGGTTTCATCTTTTTTCCTACGCTGGATTGGGTTTGCCCATTTTGCTTCACATGAAGGCTCTGACTGCCAGAGAAATGCCATTTAGGCCAAGGTTGGCACATTTGTCCCTGTAGCCATCATGCTAGTGGATGCGCTTGACTTCGGGTCAGGGTTCTCCCCCAAACAAGATCTTTTTTTTTTCCCCCAAACAAGATCTTGTTATCACCCTGCGCTCCATCCGAAAGTTGTAACAGGTTCTCTGTCTTCTGCTTTTTGCTCTGTGCAGCCTCTCCCTACTTGGACTTGCTGAGAGGGGCTAGAATCCATTAACATAGAACCTATTCACACTTGGTTTGGCGCATGTGAGCCACTCCTTTCTGGTCTTGCTTACTTTGTGTCCTCTCTCTCCACTTCTCAGGTCTGCTCCAGCTCAGCCACCTGCTGAAGGGACAGAAGGGGCTGCCCCTGGGGGGGGTCCTCCTGGCCTCCCTCCCAACATGACCAGCAACCGCCGACTACAGCAGACGCAGGCGCAGGTGGAGGAGGTAGGTGGGTAGACGGCTCTCTGAGAGTTTCTAACCACAGACATTCAGAAGACAGAGGGAGCACCTCGCCCATTGTCTCTTTTTATAGGGAGATGGTTGCAAGCTCGGGGGATAAAGCAGCCCTTAGTGTTGCACCGGTCAGACTTGTGATCCTCCGGAAGCTCTTTCCTCTCTCAAGCAGGAAACATGGCAGCTTTGTCTGTGCACCCCGCAGGTGGTGGACATCATGCGAGTGAATGTGGACAAGGTCCTGGAGAGGGACCAGAAGCTGTCAGAGCTGGATGACCGAGCTGATGCCTTGCAGGCGGGAGCCTCTCAGTTTGAGAGTAGTGCTGCCAAGCTAAAGAGAAAGTATTGGTGGAAAAACTGTAAGGTGAATGTCCTTGTCCTTCTCCTTCTTTTCCTCTCCAGCCCTTCCCTCCAAGGGTGCCGGGTCTCTGTCCTGCAGGGACCTCTTGGGAGGAAATCTGAGTGCCTGCTCTGAGAGATGAATGCCCACATTGACCACCAGGGTAGGCTAGAGTATTGAGAAGCACTCAGAGAAAGTGCTACCCTGAGAAGTTCAGAATGAGTTGGTAGTTTTTCCTCATAGGCGTCTCCTGCAGGAACTCTTGCTGGCCCTTCCTCAGACACACCCAACAGCAGCACAATAGCTCAGGCCTAATATATTTTAAAACATCTGCAACTTCTGGGAATGCACTAAATTCAAACCAGACCAATTGAATAAAGATCCAAAGTCTACCTTGCCATTGGAAATCTTTTTCAAGTCCCCAGGCAACAGGAGCTCAGCCAAAGGAGCCAGCTGCCTGCCCTGTGCTGTTCCCGGAGAGCTGCTGGCGTGGAGAGCTGCCCATGTGGTGCTGGGCTCCAGTCCATGGGAAGCAGGGCCCTGCTCAGAGGCTGGCAGGGCTGCTGGCTGAGGGTTCATCTTCCTCTCCGAGGGTGGAGGAAGTTCTGTCCCCACTCTGGTTCTGGGTCTGGTCCTGGTTCCGTTCCGGGCTCATGTGTGCTCCATGTTTCCTCAGATGATGATCATGCTGGGAGCCATCTGTGCCATCATCGTGGTAGTTATTGTAAGTAAGTATCACTGAGGTTGCTGATGGGGTGAAGAGGTGGGAAGGTCCCGGAGTCTTCTCCCAGCCCTGCCTGCCTGCCTGCCTGGGGAGTGGGGCTGCTCTGACTGAGGTATGGAGACCGCTGAACTGGGGGATGTTGTTGGCAGAGAGGCCCTGTCCCTGCTCTGACGAGTGGGGCTGTGCTGTTTGTCACTGGCTGGGCTCAGAGGGAGACCATGGGGCTGGGGCACTTGCAACTGGAAGGCCTGAATGTCTGGTAACTTGGGGCAATTTGCCCTCTTGTTTTCTCCTGTCTCTCTCTCCTCCATCTGGGCTTCCTGACTCCTGTGTCCAGTCTACTTTTTTACTTAGGAATGTGCCATCCCTTCCCTGTTCTCCATTGCCATCCGAGCTCATGTCCTTCTCCTTCTGTTTGCTCTCTCAACAAACTTCCATCTGCCTTCCTCCCTCCCAGCCTGGGCATCCCCGTCATCCATTACTCCTTTTTGGTTGCATTCATTTGCACTCTCTGTTCCTCAACACTAGAAATGCTGCTCGTGGCGCAGTCTTGAAGTCACTACCTGAAGAGCAACAGCTTGCGTCTCCTCCCTGCCCCCTTCTTATGTCCTCTCATGTTCCCCCAAAGTGGACAGAGTCCATGGCCAAAGGCGGGGCAGGGGAAGGCTGAGATGACGCTGGCAAGGTTGGTGGCAGGAGAAGGGTGTTGGTGGCTATGGTGTCGCCTAGAAAGGCTGGCTGCTGGAGGAGGGGCTGTGAGCAGATGGGGAAGTGGGGACTGGCCCTGGGCCGCCTCACTGGGCCCGTCAGAGCCCCGGGGCCGGTGTGGTCTGGATGCAGTGCCCTCATAGAAAGTGCAGCCAGCATTTTACAGTTACTGTTAATCTGTTACTCTAAGATTTTCTGTGTCTTTGAGGATCTCACAGCCATTGACTTTGTTCCCTATAGGCCTGGAGAACAAGTCTTTATTAATTGTAAAAATACCAGGAGACTGTTTCAGAAACGGTCCCACTTGCTTCTACTAAAAGGAGCTGTCTCTCCGTGTTTCCTGCAGCATTCTGTGATGTTCACGAGGGCACCAAGGAGTTTCATCTGGCCCAAGTCTGAGACTCTGAGTCAATATTAATTCTTGGCGTACAGAGGATGCCCCATTAGTTATAGAGAAACAGTGAGTTGAGGGCCTAATTTCAAAGTAATGAGCTTGCAGGAGGCAGCTTCTTGTCCTCTTGTAAGGAAGGTCCCCTTCGCCCTTCCTGCTGATAGAGGAATGTGTGTCAGAGGCGAGCTCCTTAGACTCCCATCGAGCCCTTTCTTTTATGCCATCGCAGGTACTTGCTTAAGACTGGATGTGGCAAGAGGTCCTTAGGCCTGCTGGTCTGAGGGTTCTGGGGAGTCCAGCAGACCTGGCAGCTCAGACTCAAGGTGGGGGCCATGCAGGCAGTGCCAGGTGTTCTGGTGGATGTCAGGGGGCCTGTGCTCCTAGAGCCGGCTGTCCGCTCTGCTCTGCCTGCAGAAGGTCCTTCGCCTGTCTGAGCCCACGCTGCCCCTCTGTTGTCTTTGCATGCTTTGTGCGCAGACTGTAGACCTGAGGATGGGAGGGGCTCAGCCTGTCCTATCCTGAGGCCCTTTTTTTTTTTTTTGGTGGTGGTATAGGGGATTGAACCCAGGGCCTTTGGAGTAAGCTACATCCCAGCCCTTTTTGTAAAATTTATTTTGAGAAAGAGCCTTGCTGAGTTGCCTAGGCTGGGCTTGAACTTATGATCCTCCTGCCTCAGCCTCCCAGAGTGCTGAGATTCATAGGCATGTGCCACCTTGCAGCTCTTGAGTTTCAGGATAGGATGAGCCCAGGTGCTGGGGAAGAGGGCAGGCTGGGAAATAGCCGTGGCCTTGGTGCCTTCTGTCCGCTGGTGGACAAGCAGGCAGCACCTGAGGCTGCAGTGGGCGGATCTGGATGCTCCTCCCATCAGCAGCATTTCACCTGCAAACCACCCTCCCTTCCCACCATCCCGTACTCCCTCTGTCCTGCCCAGGGCAGGACTGAAGAGCTGGAAGATGGCAGTCAGTGTACCCTCCAGCGCCCTCAGAGGTCCTCACTGTCCTCTGGGCCCCCTCCTAGTGAAGGGGTCACCGCTGGAGGAGAAGAGCCACTGTCCTGGATGTGTCCCGAGCTGGAGCAAAGCCGCCCTCGGCCTACCCAGCCGAGCATGGGGTCATTTCCTGGGTTTCTGCCTCTCTGAGGTGCACACACCCCATGTAGCTGGCTCTGTTCTTTTGGGGGTGTTTGCCCTTCTACTTTCTTTCTCACTGCACCCTGAACCTCTTTGGTGTCTGCCATTCCCCTCCCTTCCACTCCCCGTGTGCATGAGTAGATATACAGCTGAAGCCAGGACTCTGCAGTCAGCTGAAGCCAAGTTCCCTCATCCCCGTCTTGGGTTTGCTGAGAGCTGACATGGGTTTTCTACTGTGTGTCTGTCATCACCTCTGTCTTTTCCCAACCCCAGTCTTGTACTTGTATAGAATGATAACAGTTGTGCTTCCACCAAAGGCATGTGGCATATTTACCAATTTCATGTATTCTGAACAAAGGCGGAAAATACAAATTCCTACCACTCAGCTGACTCTGTTACTGTTTGGGTTGGAGTGACGGGAGGGAGGGCGAGTTGTTTCCTTGCAGCAGTCCTCAGGCTGTGGGCAGGCCCAGGTGTTCGGTGAACACTCTTGGCAGAGGAAGTGGTTTGTACTTGAAGCAGCGTGGGTGAGAGGAAGTAATGACAGGAAACTGAGTGGGCATCTCTCACAGTAGGCCACTCAGACCTGCTCAGCACCCCCCCACCCCCGGCCTCCACTGGTCCCCGGCCTGCTTGTTCTGTCCCAGGCACATAGCCAGGTAAGGCCTCCTGAGAGCAGCTCCTTTCCCGTTGTCCTCACACACCGCTGCTGAGGCCGAGTCCCCCTGTGCTGACCCTGCACCTTGCAGGAATGAATGGAAGGAGATGCTTGTCTTCCATGGCGGAGGAGTAGGGTTTACACGTGTCCTGCATTCCTGCAGCTGCCTGAAGGGGCAGGACTTAACTGCAGCAGAGACAGCCTCACTGTGCCTCTGAGGACCCGTGTTCCACAACTTTGAACACTGTGCAAGTTGGAACAGCTGTGACTCGGGGGATGCCTAAGTTGGGACCACCACAGAGAAACAGGAAAATGGGAAAGCTTTGGCTCGGTGGTTGCGCGGGCCTTTTATTTTGACAGAGTTCAGTTCGTGAGGGCAGCCCTGTCCCCTCCCCAGCCCCTTGTCCCCGTTTCTTTTGTTCTCTTTTCCCACCACCTCACCTCACATGTGGCCCTTTGGCATCCACCTGCACCCAGACATCTGGCTTCTTGTCGCCCCTCACCTCCTCCCCTCCTCTGCCTGGACCAGCAGCCCAAGGCACACAGTGGAGGAAGTGGCGCCCGCTGAGGCCGGGCAGGGCCGGGCCCTCCCTCAGGCCTGGGCCCTCCCCAAGGCCTTTCCCAGCTCTGGCTCAGTGCAAGCGGTGCTGCCAGAGAACAAGGCTGTGCTGGGACTGCAGCGTGGCTACTCCTAGTGCCTTGGAGACTTGATGAGCCTCGTTGAAGAAGCTGAGAGAAAACGGAACAAGATGGATTCACTTGGGGTCACCCCAACAGTGAGAGGCCATCTGAGGTGGGGTGGCAGGAGACAGAACATAGATGTATGGGGCTGCACTCCTGGTGGGGTGGAGTGCTGCTCGGGGTGGGTGGATCTGCAGTCGGGGCAGGAGCCAGAGCTCAGGTTGGCGCTCACCTTGCCTTCTCCGAAGCCCCAGGAGTAGCAGTGCGAGAAGGAAGGGGCAGCTGGCCAAGATGACTCCGTTGGCCGTTTCCCACTCTGTAGGGGGAGCAGCAGGGGCAGGGGTCATCACCTGTGCTGAGCCAGGTGTGTGTGTGTGTGTGTGTGTGTGTGTGTGTGTAGTGCTCTTCACGCGTGGATGACTCCTCTGCCTCCCCCAGCACGGCATTTCAGAAGCTGCTTGTGAGAGGCTGGGGCCTGTCAGCACTGACAGTTAAACCGGGGCAAGCTGATGCACGCTGAAGCACAGCCCCAGCTCTGGGGAGATGCAGTCATAAAGCCCTGTGTTCCTGGATGTCTGCCTTTCGAGGTGCAGATCCTCTATTTCCTGTCCTTTCCCTGTCCCTTCCCTGTCCCTTTCAGCAGCGCCCAGTGGCTTTCAGGGTGACATTCCAGTCTGAAGGCTCAGTGAGATTACAAGGTTTAAGCCTGCAAGGGGGATCACACTGCCTGTTCTTCACATTTTCTCATTTATTGGTAGGGACCTTGGCTACATTATTATTATTATTATTATTTTGGTACCAGGGATAGAACTTGGGTCCTTGCCCTGGTGGGGCAGGCAGTGTGGCACCACTGAGCTAAATCCCCGGCCCTCTGGCACATTATTTAGCATCTGCAAGTGCCAGCTCACTGGGAGTTGTGCTGGGCACAGTGGTGCATACTCGGAGTTCCTGCTGCAAGGGAGTTGAGGGGGATCACTTGAACCCAGGAGTTCACAGCCAGGCTGAGCAGCATAGTGAGATCTGGTCTCAAAAAATGAGAAAGGGGCCAGGGATTTAGCTCAGTGGTACTGCCGCCTGCCTTGAAAGTGCAAGGTCCTGAGTTTGATCCTCGGTACCAAAAAAAACAAAACAAAGAAAACCCAAACTGAAAAATAAGAGAAAGAGTTGTAGCACATGAGATTATACTTAACATATAAGTGCTTACTCCAGTACTGGGTTCATGTAAATGCTCAATAAATATAATTACCTCTTCAGTTTCAAGCCACTTCCCTTTTCTCACTGTACTTTTGGCTCTAGCCATACTAAACAATGTACAGTTTCTTAAATTCTTTTTCAGCTGTTTTACAGGTTGCCCTTTCTGTGTGCTGTTCTTTCCATCTTGCGTGTCCCTTGCCCTCAGCACCTGGCCTGTCCTCCTCCGCCTCCCTGGACTGAGCTCCTGGTGGCAGGGTCAGCTCTGAGCTCCCCCAGCACATTGCCCGGCCCCTGGGGGCTGTGGAGGCTGTGGCCTTGGGAGAGACGGGACGGGGCAGAAATGTGAAGCTGGGACTGGACAAAGCGTGTGGTGGCAGCACAAGCCCAGCCACAGCTGGGGGCAGGAGAGCCATGAACCCACAGGGATGCAGAGGGGAGGATGCTCCCAGTACCTGCGCTTGGGACAATCCTGGTGCTGACTGAAAGGGGCTTCTCCAGGGAGACATGGGTGACCTGGCAGGTGTAAGTGGCACCTGTTGGGCCGGGGTCCGCGGTCACAGAGGAGGAGGAGCTGTAGGTGCCCGCCATGCTTTGCCTGAGGCTGGAGAAGGTGGCACCAGAGACTCGGGCTGGGCCTCTGCTCCCTTCTTCTCGGATCCATGTCACCACCACGTCCAGAGGGTAATAGCCAGTGACCTCGCAGGTGAGGGTGGGCAGCTGGGCGCTGTCTGCCGAGCTCAGCCGTGCTTTGGGGGGAGCTGGGGAAAGAACGGGGAGTAAGATTCCTGAGGGATCCACCTGGGGCCAACGGGAGCCTGAGCCCGAAGCCTTGAGAGTGAGGGGTGTGGAGGCCACATTTTCCTCAGGGTTGTCCCAAGGGGTGGGGGTGTACGGGCCCCCTGAATGCTGGCTGTAATCACTGTTTCTGGAAACGTCCTAGCAATGGCTTTCCTCTTCCTCTTTTTCTGGGCAGTGTTGGGGGTGAAACCTCGGGGCTCAACCATGCTAGGCAAGTGCTCCACCAGAGCTTCACTCTGGCCCCTTGACTTGCTTCTTGCCATCACTACAAGCCAGCAGCTTTAAAGGGAGTCAGAGGTAAAGAACTCCCCCTGGTCAGAGCTGCTCCCTCCACCCCTTCTTGGTCCCCTGCCGCTCCTCGCTTGGGGCAGGCGGCAGAGTCTGGCTGGATGGCTCCTGGTGGAATGACGTGGGGTCCAGGAGACCCCCGTCGGATGCCATCTGTACCCCCAGGGTGGGGATGGCGAGTACCCGAGGGAGTGCAGTTGGCCTCTCAGGAAGCGCCCTCACATTTGTATCCCCTTCTGGAAACACTCCAGTAGGCGTGTTCCCCCAAGTCCTGGCCTCACCTTGGATGTTGAGCTGGATGATTTGCTGAGCCTGGTACAGAGAGGTGGTGATCTGGCAAATGTAGGTCCCCTCGTCCTTCACCCCGAGGCCAGGCAAGGTGAGGGCGACATCCCCGGCCTTGAGTAGCTGCTCGGGTGGCAGGGAGGCACCTTCCCGCTTGGCCTGGCCCTGCCCTGTCTTCCAGTGGTGTATCAGCTGGCCGCTCCCCTTGTGCTGGCGCCGCCACTCCACACTGACGAGTTCCAGGCCTGGTGCCATGGAGAAGCCACAGTCCAGGGAGGCTGTGGAGCCCAGCAGGAAATTCAGGGATTGGGTCTGCGCTGTTACCTGGAACTCCACTGTGGGGACACAATGGGGTGACGTGTGGGCTGCTTCCTCCTGAGGTCACCTGACTCCTGGCTATGGGGCTACTCCAGCTTGCCCCCTGGCCTGGACAGTGAAGTCAGTTGAGCTCATTTCCCATCAACGGAAACCACAAGACATGGGGCCCTGGAAGAGCAGCCTGGTGCACTGCGTCACTCACACCTTAGGTCGTCTGGTGAAAGTGATGGCCACTCACCAGGCGACACATAGGCAACACTGGGGTCTCCTCTCCAGCCACTCTCATCCATGCTAGTGATGCTGGCCCTCGGAGGCACCGCCAGTGCAGCTGCCAAGTTCTGCAACCCTGGCTGTTCTGCTCACTAGCTCTGTGCCTGTCACATGGCCCTCAGTGTTGCCAAGCTCATCTGCTCCAGCAAGGCTACTGTGAAGACTACAATGAGAGTTTACAAAGCACACACTGTTGGTATTTGTCCCAGACATGCTAGACCTAAATCAAACCATGAGGAAAACAATCAGACAAATCGAAGTAGTGGGATGTTCTACAGGACAGCTAGCCTGGACCTCAACAATGTCAAGGCCAAACCAGGTGTGGTGGCACATGCCCCCAACCCCAGCACTCTGGGAGGCTGAGGTGGGAGGATTACAAGTTCAAGCCCAGCCTGGGGCAACCTAGTGAATTACCAAGAGGCCCTGTCTCAAAATTTAAAAAGGGCTGGGAATGTAGCTCAGTGTGAAGGGCCTGTGTTCAATTCCCAGTAAGAAGAGGAAGGAAGGAAGGCAAGATGGAAGAAAGGAGGGAAGGGGAGGCAGGGAGGCTTGGGGATGTAGCTCTGGGAAGGCCCTGGGCTCCATTCCTAGACCACGCCCCCCCCCCAAGTCAGTGCTATAGAAGAGTGGTGTAGAAGGGAGAATAGCAACAAGATAGCCAAATGCAATGCATGATCCCTGTTTGAATCCTGGATTTAAAAAAGAAAAAGCAGGGTGTGGTGGCTCACACCTGTAATCCCAGCACTCGGGAGGC